AAATCTCAGGCTGGGTGAGCCCGAGCGTCGCGCTCCGCACACGCTATTAGCGACGAGTGACCTCGTGGAGGATGTGGAGGAGATCGACTACGATTCTGACACTCGTGGGATGACGAGGAAGGCGAGCCACCCCAGCGGCGTGAGACGAGCCCTGGTCGCGCCTTGTGGGCCCCATGTCCGTTTCCTGACCTCTCATTACCTGAGGGTCGTAGTGTCATCACCAATGACCTCGACAAGGCACAGAGGCGGTAGATGGAAGCTGCCCGTAAGGCGGCTCTGATGTGCACCTATCCACGGTCAGTCATTGACTCTCGTGTGGGATATGACTTCACCCAGCGGATCCCGCTGTGGAGGCGATGGACGCGGTAGCTCGATCGTTACGCGTCCACATCATCGGGCCTCCGGCCATTACGGATGCTGGGCTTGCCGAACGGAAAGCTCTTCGGGCTCGTTTTTTGGTCCAATAAAATAAATGGAATATTATTTAGTATATTTGATGTAAATCCGATTAAATTAAAACCTACATGCCCCAAGAAATTCCGTTAGACATGTATCGCACTCGTCTTCGTGCTCAACGAGGTGGCTATCAGGTCTCGCAATGCAAACGATACCCGTTAGTGCTCGCCCCTGGCGAAAGCGCTACAGATGACGAAGTGGTCTTTGAGCGATGGGTGCAACGGCACCGAAAACTTTCCTCACTGTATGCCTTACAGTTGAGCCACAAGGAAGTGGACGTGCGTGTCGAGCGCCACCTCCGAGCACACCGTCGTCTCCCTTCAGATTGTCGCCCTGCAAAGTATGGGTCAACCCCTAACGCTCCCGCGAGCTCTATGTCCACGACCGCAAGAGCTCAGGGCCACCGCTTGAGCTCAGCTCATGACCCTTCTACTTCCCTGGCTATTGCCGGGAAGCGCGGGGCGTCCTGATCTTTATGATCAAAAGCGTCCACGGCGTCTGGACAACTTTGCAGAAGTGGCATCTCAGACTCTCACGAGTTTTCGGAGTCGGGATATCCCGCCACTTCACCAAATATTGGGTTTGACCCTGGTGACGACGTCGTCCAACAAGACGTCCCACGTGATCGTGGATGTCACCGTTCTCATCGAGAAGAGCCGGTGGCGGGCGGTGACGCGTGATGCTCTTCGAGCCCTTGGGGACAAGGCCTTCGTGATCGGAGCTCCGCTGAGCGTCATGCTGAAATAGCATATCGCTGTGCGGACGCTCTTGACGATTAAAAGCACGTCGTGTCCCGGCTGCCTCGCTTTGAGGACTCTGTCGGGGCGACTCCTAGCCGTGGAGCAGGCGAATGCATCGCTGCAGGCAACGGAGGAGCGCTTGGCATCGATAGAATTGA